TTTTTAAACAGAGGTAGAAGCTTGTTCCACTTTAGTGTGGTTATCACTGTTTATTTAATGATATGTTTTCTTAATGTAAACCTTAATGGTGAGATCCAAGGCAGTTATGCTTGCTATAACTTTAGAACACAAATCCACAAAAACAACTTCTAGTTACAAATGCCAGCCTGAAAAAATCTTCACGCTTTCTTCTCCTCGGCATGTGCTTGTCAACACACACATTCTGTACAATGTGATAAGACACTTTTAGTTAACACGTGCATGCAACCAAAATAGATTAAAGGCGTACTGAAATTTTTAAGACAGTACAGACTAAACAATCAGGAATTTAAGGCATGTTAGAAACAGGGAGGGAAAGTAATTGTGCTCACTTACTCAGTTTTAAAATGAAACAAAAATTGTTACATAGCTTTCTAATTGACAGTCAGAAATGGTTCTTTTGAAATAATAAGCATACAAAAAAATCGAGTTTAGGAATATAAGAAAAGCACTCATCTAAAGAATGGGACCAGTTTACTAAAAAAAAAAAGTAAGTACAGTAGGTTGCCCTACTGTATTTGCATTTGTATAATTAAAGTTCCAGCAGTCAGCTGCTTACTTTATAGTATCTTTAAAAACTTTATTAGGGTGTTGCTGCTCTGGCCTGTAAGAATCTGGCCTTTACGTCCTTATCAATGTCTATGTAATTCCTGTTGTATGGGATGCAAGTTACAGACTTGTAATAGATGACAAAACTGTCATGCAGTCGGAATTCTGGTTTAACTAGCTACATGCATAGTACAGCAGAGCTAGATACCTTGCTGGGATCCTGCAACATGCTCTGCTTTCCTTGCAATATGCTAAGCATTCTCACATCAGTTCATAGGTGTTCTAAAGAGTGCTGAGGAAACTAGCTCATTTGTGTCCTGAAAGGCTGGCAATTCCTATTTTGAGTCCTTATTCTTAAAATGAGTTCTAATATATACTAGAAACCTTGCAGTTCTGCAGTGTCTATTTAGCTAGCCTAAAGAAATCTCTGTTAGGTCCTATCACTGCTGCCAGATGAAAAGAAGAGGCAAAATGAAAATTTAAACAAATAGCAGAAGTCAGGATTGTTTTGCGTTAACCACTGGCTCATGCTCTGTCCCTTAAAATGCAATTTTTGTGCTTGTTAAGCATGTAGGTGGAGATTTGTTTTTGCCAAGCTGCTGTTAGGATTCCTAGTAATCATATACAGGTTGTTAAAATTGCCCTTTTCTGCATGCACTTGATATGTAAACTGACTCTTCTATTAGTCTGTGAGGATGGTAGCTGATGCTTACCAGCTGCTGGGACAGACAAGGCATTTCATGACAGTCTCCTGAAGAATGTTCTGTCCTGTCTCCTGCGCTCCCCACACTTTTCTCTCCAGATCAACCTTCTTTCCCCTCAAAAAAAGTGCAGTTAGGCAATGCTGCCTAACACCTTATTCCCCTGCTGCTGACCCAGCCTAGACATGACATCAGTATTGGGGTAGGATACGTCAGCTTCCTCACGGCAGAAAGGAGCATAAAGTAGGAGAAACTGAGCTGAATAGTTCTCAGGGGATGAGAGGGGCGTATTGCAAGTTGCATACTTTAAACAAGAGGAATGGAATCTCTTAAAACAGGCAGACGGACATTAGCTGCTTAGATTTTTATCACTTAGAGGCAGTTCATACCAAGTCAGGGAAGCTAAACCAAGTTTAAGAGATAATATGAAAGACAGGGCAAAAGCAGACCGATCAAGCAAGTCAAATTCATTTAAAAAGGTCCAGCGGAAAGTGATTGGGTCTCAGAAAAACAGGACCAGCAGCTAATGCAAAATAAAGCAACCCACTTTCATAGATGGAGAAGCAGCATATGCAAGGGCTGTTATTTTAATGCTGCTGATGTGCTTAAGAGCTACATCTTAATGTCTCTCTGATAACTTGCTGTTTTAGATATACCCATGGGTGCATCTGGCTATATGTAGCCTAAAGGCCAGCAGTCATGAATAAAAGGTGTAGAACTAGTATCATTGCCTGTTTGTTAGGGGTTTTTTGCCCCGCCTTGAGGGTTAGAGAAAATAGCGTAAGGACAGCAATACTCTTAAGTCTGGGCTTTTAACTCCTATGCTTAGGGAGTTTTCAAAAGGCCAATCAAACTGCCTTCAGAACTACTTTGGGCCATCTGACCAGCACAATAAGAATGAGTACCTGGCCTAGTACCCTTCTGTTCTATGGCACTAGAAAGGATGAGGTGGTGTTTCTTTTCTGTCTCATTCATAGACAGTGAGATGGAGTGTTTTATGGTTTCTTCCCTTTGCCCCCTATCTTTGCCAGCTGCCATTGGTGAGAGTTGGATTTCAGAGACTCATGTTAAGTGAGACAGCCTGAAACTTCTGTAAGGTAACACTGATTTTTAAAAAGCAGAGCAAAAATTGAATGTTTTGGAAGACAGACAGAGGCACAATTAATATTAAAAGTTACATGACTATTGAAAAACCATGTTCCAAGTTGCAGTTCAGTCAGGTAAAAGAAGCTACAACAATAATCAGAGATCCTTTTAATCGTACCAACAATCGCCCACCATACACAAAATACCAAAAGATACAGGGTCAATGGGTCACCAGGGACACTGACTCTCTAGTTAAGGGACTGTGAAAAATTCAGAGTCCAACATCTAGCTATACTTCTGAAAAGCAAATAGGCAACTACAGGTTCACCTAATGTAGGTAAAATTTAATGAAGGATCATTGATCACTCAGAAAACTTGATGTAGAAAGACCACTGAGTTATGAAGCCTCTGTCCGTAGTTTTGTGGATATTAGAATGGTATTTGACTTCATCAGTGGATAAGAAAGTATGATTCCTGTTCCAACTGAACGTTACTGAGTGAGCAGCTGGGGTTTCAGGGACTTTTTTATTGTTTTGTCCTTTAGACATGTGTAATATGCAAAATGCTAGAAATGACTTAATTACATTTCACTTAGAAGTTGAAAAGATCCACCTGAAGCCTAAGTTTAGCCAAGGCCACAAACTCATGTGAGTTTTAAATATACATAATATCTTACCATGCCAAAGCATCTCAAGGTTTTTTATAGAACATCTACAATACCACTGTTAAATCAATGAAAACAAGCAAGTCTTTGGTTTGAGAGGCAAGAGCCAAAATATTCAGCAACAAAAACAAGTAGCAGAGACAGAATGTCCAGAAACAGAAGAATGAAACAAGGTCAATAAAGAGTACCTAAGGCACCTTGTTTATAGTCATCTTTGCTACACTCCTTAAGACCTCCAAATAATATATGAAACTGCAAATGCTAAGGAATGTGAAGATGAAACAGCAGAGGACAAAATACGTTACTCTTACTCCTAGTTAAAATTCCCATGATCAAAGGATGTGAATTAATATATTTTTCCAAGTGATAATGAAGTTAAGAGAAGAATCAGAGCTAGGAAAATGAATGAAAGGAGGAACCAGTACCATTAAGAGTAAGTTCATTTGATATTCATGAATTGCAAGTCAAAATGAAGTAGAAAAGCAGGCTGAATACCGAGATGTGGATATTTTCTTTAATGTCTAGTGCATTTCTCAGTCTCAAGTACTATAGAAGGTGGAAGTATCCCCCTTACTTTAAAAATTAAAAAAATAGGAGAGTGCAGTCTGTACTTGCCTTCAGGAACATGCACTGTACAGCAGGAAGTGCAAAATTGTCCTTGCAAAAAAAAATATGCAAAGGAGAATTTTGAAGAGGGATGGGAATTCAGTTTATTCTACAATAAATATTTTTAGTCACAAACTTAGTTGAGACTTTCATCAAATGCAGTATGTAGCTGACTGGTAATATAAGCTACATCTGAGGACGGATTGGTTAAGTTTTGTTTTGGCCACTCCTCCCTGCAAATCAATACCAATTTGAAAAAAAAAAAAGGGCTGGGGGGAGAATCCATTACTTCTTTGCCTCAGTACTAGATGGTTTGTGAAAGTGAGTCAGCTGTATTGAGTCAGTTCCTTGTTCTTATACTAGGAAATAGAGCCTATAATTAAAGCTCTCTTTAACATAACTGGCTTACTACATGTTTGCTGAACTGGGTGCAAGATGTTCTGTCAGTTTCCAAATTTATGTTCCCTCCCTACTGCTAGCCAGAGGGAAATTCATCTCTCTGCCTAATTTTCAAGACAAAAAAAAAAGAAAGAAAACCCCTCTGTCCATCTCAGTCTCTGGCCTTATTTGAGTATTAGTTCCTTTATACACACCTCTAAAAGTTTCAGAATGCCATGAGAGACTGGAAGGAGAAATTGCCAAGAAATCTGTAGGTTTCCAAACGTGTGCAGCAGAACAGGAAGTTAGGTTAGCTGAACACTTCAGGGGATATAAATACTTGTAAGTTGTTTTTTTCACATAGTTTTGGGAATATCGAACTGAAGTCTGCAATAGCCAGAAGCCTGGTTACATTTTAATGCACGTTAATTAAAAACTGTACAACAGCATTTAGTGTTCATGAAGATGATTGTTACACTTTTGGCATTTTTAGGAAAGCACATCAAGCTTTAAAGTAGAGTAAGACTGTACTTTCTTTCAGTACCTAGATTACACTGAGAATTTGTGCTCACGAAGTACAAAAAACCACAAACGTTTTCCTCATTGTCTGCTTTTACCTTGTGTTCTCCCCTTAGGTATGGCCCATTTCCTGTTCCCTCGGAGCTACCTTTGGCTATGTGGCTGGTCTGATTATTGCACCTCTGTGGATACACTGGAACCGGAAGCAGCTTACATACAAAAGCAGATAACTGGAGCAAAGAGAGACAAGGTATTTCTTTGTGCAGATTCCATACAGACTGTGCAAAAGTTGGGTTTTTTAAGAGAGAGGGAGAAATGTATAGTCAAAGCAGAAGACTACCCAAATTCATTTAGAGTATTTCAGGCCAAGCATCTCCACTCAATAAAATCGCACAGATGCCGTTTCAGCATGGTGCAGTTTTTGCTTCCTCTAGACTATGTAACCCTGAGAGATTGTACCTTCTAGTCTGAATAAAATATTTGTAACAGATGTGGTGGCTTCTTATTACAAGTTCGTTGAGTTTGATTTTATTCCTCTGGATTTCACTGGTTGTAGAAGGCAGAATCGTAGTTTTAGCTTTCAAACCTGTAACAAGTTCACTGTGTACTTAATGCATTGTATTTAAATTCAGTAGAATTTCACAGTAAGCCTGGCCATTGTCAAATGTATCTCACGTGATCAAACAGCAGTTTATGCATCTTGAGCCTATTCTCTTCTTCACTGTGTGTTTCTTTGGAGTTAGAATAGCTATAATAGCTTCATCAAAAACGGTCTTCAGTCCTTTCTGTGTTAAAGCTGAACACTCCACATAGCAGTAGGCTCCTATCTGTCAAGAAAATAAGTTAATTCAATAGCAATATATTTCAGCTGTTCAGTTCTATCTGTGCACTTCTGCTTTTTTTTTTTTTCTATAGTGACATCACAAGGTTTGGCTGTGATCTAGAATAGTTACCTGCATGTGTATCCCCCTGTAGGAGAAAAGAAGATTTGTCTTTTAGCCAAAGATCTGGAATGTATTTAAGTTGGTTTGGTTTATAAAGGAAGCATATTAAATAAGCTCTTTGGATTGGCAGTGGGGTCCTAAGGTTTTTTTGATAATTAAACAGCAAAAAAGAATTACAGAATTACATGACCAATTTATGTTTCAAAAATAAGACTATAAATAAGCGTCCTGATAAGCATTATCCACACAGTGTGTTAAAATGGTAGTATAGCGTTCTCAAATAATTTCTTAAAGATGCTTCCAACATTTTGCTTGAGCAGGGGAGGTCCCTTCCAACCTCATACTCTGTGATTTTAATTCTCTCTAACTAATGCTTATGTAGTTTTTATGAGTGTCTACACAGAAAGAACTATTACTAACAGGGAAGTGCTATTACACAGGTCTGCTTGTTAGCTGTATTCAACAATGTAAGTAAATATTGTTAACTGGTAACCAGTCGTAAGGTTTCATATGTTGACTGGTAAAAGAAATGGGCAAACTGGTAAAGGAAGAAAAAGTCAATTGGAAATAGGGTTTTCTGCTTCTTTGCTACTTGGTTTCATTTAGGAGTATCCAGTTTACCTCTTTCGCTAACTTCTGTCCTTGCTCCACAGATACAGGCTTCTCTTTCATATCATTCAGTCTTGCCAGAGTTTTTGGGTCATCACGAAGATCAATCTAGCAAGAAAGATTGCAGTCATGTTGGAATACTTTTTGTAAACAAAAGTAAGCAGGCTATATGATATCCTCTTTTTAAAGCAGAATTATTTATTTAATGGACTGTTATGTGTATAAAAATGGAGTCATGTCATGATTCAGATCGTGGACCCTTCCTGATCCAAAAGCCCTGGAAATTTAAGCTGTTAACTACTACCTTTAATCCAGAAGGAGCAAAACGTTTATTCTGTAATTCAGCTCTTCAGTTAGATGTGATCATCTTGGAATACCAGAATGTATATCCAGCAGTGGCAGAAAGATTAACCCAAACATAATACCAACATGTGGGTCACTTTGTAATTGAAGCCCAGTCCACTGCCCACAAGAAGCAAGAGGAAATTCACAGAATCATAGAATGGGTTGGGTTGGAAGGGACCTTAAAGATCATCTAGTTCCAATCCCCCTGCCATGGCCAGGGACTCCTTCCACTAGGTCCAGGTTGCTCAAAGCCCCATCCAACCTGGCCTTGAACACTTCCAGGGATGGGGCATCCACAGCTTCTCTAGGCAACCTGTTCCAGTGCCTCACCACCCTCATAGTGAAGAATTTCTTCCTTAATCTAAATCTACCCTCTTTCAGTTTAAAGCCATCACCCCTTGTCCTATCACTACATGCCCTTGTAAAAAGTCCCTCTACAGCTTTCTTGTAGGCCCCCTTCAGGTATTGGAAGGCTGCTATAAGGTCTCGCCGGAGCCTTCTCTTCTCCAGGCTGAACAACCCCAACTCTCTCAGCCT